GAATGAATGAATGAATGAATGAATGAATGAATGAATGAATGAATGAATGAATGAATGAATGAATGAATGAATGAATGAATGAATAAATAAATAAATAAATAAATAAATAAATAAATAAATAAATAAATAAATAAATAACATTTAATATAAAGGAATGTTGACAATTTTTCCCCAAAGAAAGCTGTACTAAATAAATTAAAACAATAATCACGGTACATCCACGAGATAGCCATCTCACATGTGATGTTTGTTATCACTAAACTATGAAATCCAGCAATGCGATTGTGGTTCAAGGCCATGGCTTGCCTTATATGGCATCACTTAAAAATAAAATAATATCTGTTGTAACAAATCATTAGTCCTTTTTTGATCGAATTATGTATAAATTATTATTATATTTAAATTTTCACGATATGATAGTAAAATTGACAATAATAAAACTCCAAAACAAAACATGTACGTAAACAATAATAATAACTTCGTCATTTACTATTACGGATATCCACAAACTTACCGTATAATGTGTTTCTGTAGGTCAGGTCTGGTATAATGCACTATATGTTGCAGTATCGTCCACAGAGATATTGGTATCGTCAGAAACACGAACACACCGGCAGTGAACCATGCTTTTTTGTGCACGCTGTTTTCCTCTTTCAACAGTTCCCAGACACACAGAGGAAAGGCGACACATACGAGAAGTATGTACCCAGCGAAAACAACAGGCCGTATCCACGCCTTCCAGTTATCAATAACCGGCATTATTCAGTAAATGGTGGCCCGATGTTATAGTAACCTCTCGCGGGTAAATCCAAACCCAAATCTCCCCCACGCATGGATTCTTTTGCTAATATTGTTCAGATCGAACGATGTTTATTTCAACTGGCCGCCATATTGACTGTATGTTTTACGCATGCTCAGATCAGAAATGACGTCATTTCCCACGGTATCCCCCGTCACCATCCACAAAATCATGTGATTGTGAGTATATAGGAACTTGCAGAGTCAGACGATATCGTCATCGATATGTGTTGTCATTTGACATTTCACCAATACGTCGTTCCACAAGTACGTGTACAACCTTCATAATCGTCAAACGCAGCAAAGGAGATATAGAAATTGATACATTCACCGACAAAGGTGCGCTCATATTTCTCACTCAGTCGATGTGCTATTACGTGTAAGATATATTGAAGATAATATTTGGTAATCGTAGTCCTAAATAACTATTTAAAATAGCTAGACGTTTCGAGCAATGGCTCTTTATCGATAGCATAGAAGCAAGTGTAAGATAGATTGTTGTAGTTTGTCGTTAGTATTATTCTTCGTATTTTCTGCTGTCATATCTGACGGTAGTATAGTTCTATTACAGCAGAAAGCACGAGTAATAAATACAATACAGCAACCTAGCACACAGTCCCGTTGTTAAGGAACTATGCCTAGCAAAATGTGCGAACAGCCAGGATCAATTCGGGGGGGGGGGGTCCTTAGGGCCCTCTCAACCATAACTCCAATAATAACCCATTCCCTCTAGTGCCCTCCCCCATTTCAATTGTATATACCTTTCGCCCAATTACCACTTCGCCGAACGGTTTTGCCCGATTACCTGTTCGCCCGATTACCATTTCGCCCGATTGCCATTTCGCCCGATTGCTATTTCACCCGATTACCAGTTCACCTGATTCCTCGTATGTTTGGTATTTACGTGTAGTCAAAACAAGATAACGTAGAAGTCGAAATTTGTTTTTATAAGGTGACAAACGTGAAGTTTACAACGGGGTTGTAACGTAATTTTATGCCGTTGCGGCCATCTTGTGTGGGTCATACCATTTGTGTATCGGGAGGAATGGAAAAATGGAAACTAGGGTAATGGGACATTTCTAATTATTTGACATATTTTTGGTGTAAAACGGCCAATTTTATCTGAAATGACTGACCAAAAAATATCAGCAAATTTTGAAAAAAATATCAGCAAATTGATGCCAGTTGAGCATCTGACTCACTTGCCATGTACTATCAATTGATTGTTGTGCATAACCACGGATTATAGAATTTAATTATTCTGTGGGCCATCTTAATTTCATTGTTTGTAAAAGCCATATATATTTGTGATTATAGGATACTCTTGACTGGTGATTATGGAGTCCCAAGCAACAAGACCTCGA